GACACTCACAACCGGACTAGAAAAGCCCAGAGAAGAGAAACCTCCCATAGGAGCCTGCAGAGGACAGACACAGGCTAGAGTCCTAGCTTCCACAGCAGTGTCACCCAGAAACCTGCCAGAAGTGCAGACCTCAGCCCCGCGGGGCTCCTGCTACAGTCTGCACCTGTGTCCCCACACTGGGGCCCTGCAGCTCCAGCTCCCATGTGACAGCATGGGGGGTGCTAGGAGGTGATGAGACACAGGGTGGGGCCACATGGATCAGTGTCCTTAGAGCAAGAGGAGGCGACACCAGCGTCCTCTCTCGCCACTGGAGGACAAGGAAAGAAGACAGAGGAGAAGACAGCCCCATGAGGAGCTGGATCGGAGCACTTTAACCTTGGACTTCCGATCTCCAGAGCTTTGAGAACAGATGCCTATTGTCTACAGTGTCCAGTGTGTGGCCACTCCTTACAGTAACCCTGGCCAGAGTCATCTGCTGTGGGACTGCCTCATGTTAGCGTCCCTCGGTGTGACATCACTGAACGTCATTATTGCAAAACATGCTCGACCAAACTAAAACTTAAGGAAACAATAACATAAAACCAGAAAGGGGATATAAGGTATTTAAAGGTTAAGTACCATATGATTATGACCATAACTTCTAAATGTTTTGACAAAGAAGTTCATATATAGTACATACAAAACAGATCAAGAGACAGCAGGTGTGGGGACACAGAAGCAACTGGTAAACCTCACAGAGGTACCGGGTTCGCTGATCTCCTTTCAATAGAGAAGGCTGAAGGTTCAGAACCACTCCCAGGTCTGGCCGCATCAGGCACTCTGAGGGCAGCACCCAGGCTGCCTGCTTTATTTAGCCTGTACTCCCAGGAGCCCACGGATGTCACAGCAGAGTCCAGCTCACGGCTAGGAAATGCTCCCCAAGTGACACTGGGGACTCCATCAAGGGCAAACCTCCTGCAAGCATTGTTCCTGGGAGAGGGCAGCATCTGGAGTGTTTGTGCGAGGCTGGTGCACAAGGCCGGTGTACATGCACCACGCTCCCAGGGCCTCCTGGGCTTGGCTCTTCTTTTCAGCAGAGCAACAGCGACAGAAAGATAGGTGCCTGGCCTGAATATGACCTCAGGGAAAGCCCACAGGACACAGAGCTCATGAACATTACCAGATAGGGCACCTCTAGCTTCTGAGAGCTGAAGGGAGAAGATGATGGCTCTGAACCCCATTAAATGTTTTGCTTTGATTTGTGTGCATGTTTAAGGACTAAATTATGTGGCAAGGAAAAAGGAAAAGGAGAGCCAGCAAGCAGCTGCTGCTGGAAGGTAGAAGAGGTGAAAAAGGGCTGCAGGCGGAGACAGATGTGGGGCAGTGGGGACAGCAGCTTCCACCCTGATGACCACGAGATGGCCAGCCTGACATGTCCACGGGTGAGCAGGCAGCCAAAGCAGGACAACTTCCAGGCCCAGGTTCCAGTGTCTGGCCTGGGGAGCAGTCAGGCTACTGCTTGCCTCTACAGCCCTCTCCTTACCCTGCTCCAGAGACCTCGTCCTGACACCAGGGGACAGATCACAGCACCCAGGTCCAGAGGCTCCTGCAGGAAATGCAACTCCAAAATCTCCACTCAGAAACAGGAGCAGACAATCTAGGGGAGTCTCCAATGAGAAAGGGGAAGAAAGCTGGAGGGAAGCGGCTTTGGTGATCAGGCACAGCTGTCACTAAGAGAATAGGTGTGATGGGGCATCCCTGAAATCCCAGCACTCTAGAAGGCTGAGGTAGGAGGACTGCAAGTTCAAGTCCAGACCGGGCAACTTAGTAACTTACCAAGATCCTGTCTCAAAAATTTAAAAAAGGGCTGGGGATGTAGCTCAGTGAGAAGGCCCTGGGTTCAGTCTCCACTGCCACAAAAGAAGGAGCACAGAAGGGAGGGAAGGGGAGAAGGGAGGGAGAAAGGGGGAGAAGAGGGACAGAAAGAATACAAAAGACCATATTTTATTTTTTAAAAGTCAGAGAAAAGTATTATAAATAAAAAATGATAGCAAAATAATTTAAAATCACTAGAAGAATATAAATACAAAAACAAGTCAGAGTCTAGAAAGTAAAGCCAAACTTTAAAATACTGGAAACTAGGGGCTAAAAGGACTAGCTCCTTCTATAGTAGTGCTCCAATTTGGATAGGGCCCCGGAGCCAAACCACTGGGGCCCTCAGGTGCCCCTGGGATCTGGCCCTACAATGCACCACCCCCTGGCCACACGCTCCCCGCCAGGATGGACACATCGTGCTACTGCAGGACCAAAGCACCAGGCCAGGGTCCCATGGACCAGATCCGCTGACCCCTAAACCAAAACAGACTCTTACCCATTTAGGATGGCGTCCCTGGGTACTGTGCCACAGCAGATGAACACAAGTTAGTCCCAGAGAGAAAATGGGAGAGGAGGAAATAACCAAAGAGTAACCCAAGAAGATCCCCAGAACCGATAAATACATGTTTCTGGGCTGTAAGGGCTCCACGGTACCTAGCATGCTGGAAAGACCTAGCACCAAAACTCAGCACTGTGAATTTCTAGACCTGGGCTGCTTTGTTAGCAGGGCAGCCAGGAATAGTGAGATTTCTCCTTGCAGCTCGTGTCAGTGCAGTGGGGTGAAGGGAGGATGCTCTGCACACAGAGCCCTCCGGAGTTCCCTCACCAGACCACAGCTGGCAGCAGGACACATGGGGGCAGAGTGGGCATGTGCTCAGCTCCTGGCAGGTGGGGGCACAGCCAGGCCACCAGGCACGGAGGGCGAGGGTGGACAGTCACAGAAAGAGCAGGGGCTATGGGATAGTTAGAATGGAGAGCCTCGACTGGCCTGGAACTTCACACCTGCAAGAAGCCAGGAAGAATGGACCAACACCTTCCAAACCCCAAAGGGACTTTTCCCTTGAAGGCTGTGCCATCAATCCATCAAGCATGAGGGGAAAGGATGCCTCCAGACAGCTTCAAAATTCACTGCCACCCCAGCCCACACTAGAAGGGAAACAAGGAAGTCAGGCAACCGGGCCTGGTGGTGGGCAGCTCCAGGACAGGGGGCGCCAGGCTGCAGCTGTTCTGGCAAAGCCCGAGGCCAGTCCTTGTCAAAGCCAAGGCCACTCGGCCAAGTGTGTGGAGCTATGTGAGGTATAATGTAAACAAAGCAAAATTTAATAAACAATTGACAACTGAAAAGAGAACAGAAAGTAACATAGCACATGGCTCACTATAAACAGCTCTGACACGGTCACTCACAGAAACACTAAAGGGAAAACTCGAGCATGGGCAAGAACTCCAGAGCAGTGAATCTGCCAATGCAGGGAGCTGGCCACGGTCACCCCTTGCCACACTCACACCACGACACAGAAGCATTGGGCCCCAGCAGGCCACAAGGACAAAGAGAGGGGGAAAAGGGCAGCATGAGGAAGACTCAGAGCCTGGCGCTTAGGATCAGGGGTGTTTCCAGAGGTAGAGCAATGGCGGAGTGTGCATAACAGATGCTGATGGGAGCCAGAGATCAGAGATCGATGTCACTATTGACAGGTGACATTTTCGGTGCACTGGGCACTATCAAAAGGCCCATGACGCTTGTCCCTGCAAACCTGCCTGCTCCTGGACAGCCTCGGAGACTCGCTAACCTACTTCGTACTCCCTGCCCCTGGCTGCCGCAGGACCCCAGCACCTGCCATCCTCCTCAGTAAGCTCCTATCCATAGCTCGCCCTTGACTCCTGACGAAGAAAGCGTGCTGGCGGCTCTCACAAGGGTCTCTGTCACAAGCTCTCATGCGCCCTTTCCTGCTCACCAGTTCACACTGGAGCTTTCCTCTGGATGAATCTCCAGCTCATGACCACCTCCTTGCTGGCCAATGGCTCGCAAGTGGTGTCCCCAGACACAGCAGGAGAATCACAGAACCTGTCAGAAATGTGAATCTCACAGGCCACAGCCCCAGATCCAGAATCAGAACACCTCGGGGAGGCAGCGATCTGCTGTCTGGAAACCTCTGCAAGTGACTCCAATGCACATTCCAGTGGGAGACTACTTTGCACCAGGGTGCTGGGTCTTCACTCTGTGCCACCACGGTGAGACTTGGCACCCTGAAGGGATGGTGGGAAGCGTTCTATGGCTCCAAAAGTCCCTACCCAGGTCTAACCTGAGATACCTTCCCCCGGCCCTAATCAGCACTGACTCTGCTGTCCAGGGACTGGGTTCCCATCCGAGCTGCGGTGGTCAGGGCTTAAACTCTGGCCCTGCAGTTACCATCTGTGTGATCACCTCCTATTCTATTATCATAATACCTGCTTGCTAGGTTGCTAAGATAACTCATTGTTACCATGGCCCTAAGACTGTAGTCATATCTGCACATACAGGTGAATGCTCCACCAACTTATGCATCTTTGCCATGGTAACAGTAACTGAACTGGTAAGTGTCTTTTTCTTGGGACTGGGACTCTTTCCTCCAGTCCCCACACAGGTCAAGCTAGCGCTTCCTCCTTGCAAAACTACTCAGCACACACCCATCACCGTCAGCCCGCCGACCTCCTCCAAGCACCCAGCAGCAGGGCTGGAACTTCGCAGCTCTGCTGGCTCGGATCAGCACCGACCCCCGAGGGGAGCGCTAGGTAGTAGGTGGTCTCCCTTCCTTCTGTCCCGGAGCTGGGACTCCGCCGAGCTATTTTTAGCTAGTTTTGATGCCACCGTGAAGTACGAGTAACAGTAACCGTATGTCTCCTTCCAGGCAGATATTCAGCTAGACAACCTCCTCCCTCGGCCTCCCGCACAGGCCTTCACTCCAGGCGCCAAGACTGCAACCCGGGCAGCACCGTCCGCGGGGACACTTAGAGGAGTGATGCGGGACCCCTCCGCAAGTCAGCACTGCGACCTGGGGCGCCCAGACGACGTGGACAGCGAGGGCGCCGCCGGGATCGGCAGGCCCGAGCGCGCAGAGACCGCGACCCGGGACCGCGAGCTGCCCCCACCCCGCTGCGAGGACACTCACAGGCGACGTAGGCGAGCAGCGCGAGGCCCAGCAGCAGCTTCATTCTCCGACGGCTGACGGCGGTTCCGAGGCGCAGCAGCGCCTGACTCACCATGCCCTAGCGCGGGCGGCGTGCACAATGCGCGCCCGCCGCCTCGCCTGCCGCCGGCTTCTTCCCGGCTGGGCATCTGCGCAGGCGCTTCCCCGCCCCCGCCGAAACCCCGCCCTACCACGCCCCCGCCCGCCGGCCTCTTTACGCAGTCGCAGTGGCTACCGCTCGCCTAGGTTTCAGAGGTGGCGCGGGCGAGGCGCGTGCGCGTGCCGCGGGGTGCGTTTCCCCTTTGCTGTTCGCAGAGGAGCGCCCCTGCTACGACTTTGTTACAGCCTACCGGGTGCAGGACACCTCCCCACGGGTATACAGTCAATCAGTGAACCCAGCACACCTGAGCAGCCTCCCCAGGGCGGCCCCATCCTGCTGGGGCCCGCAGCTTCTCTGCAGGAAGCCCAGCGCCTGTCCCCGAGGTGCCCAGGTGACAACACACCTGGCATGGGAGCTGGAGGCTCGAGTCCCAGGGTCTAGGCCAGAGCACTCATGCTTTTGCCTGTGACTCTTCCTTTCCTGTGGTTGACGGTGGGAGTTTGTGCTGGGTCTATGGTTTCTGTAAAGAGGAGGAAGTAGAGCAGGATAGGCCAGCAAATGGGCTCTGAGACCCTCCTGCTCTGCGACCTGTGGTTTAGGGGTGAAGGTGAAGGGCAAAGGAGGGAGAAGGATTTATGGATGCCCACCGGACTGGCAAAATTAGCCAGGCTTCGAGGCAAATTCCAAGCGCATTAGGTTGCGAGTGGCGTTTCCTTAATAGGTGTGTATCAATTCAAATAGGCTAAACTGTGTGGAATATTTGCCCTTTTTGTACAAAACTCTCTGAACACAGCCTTCCTTCCACTATGAGTGGTTTTCCTACGCTGGGCACTGCTGCCACCATCTCCTGCCCCGTGGAAGAAGCCTGTGCCATTTGCGGTGCCACTGGAGTGGCTGCCGCCCTTATTGGCACCCAGAAGGCTGTTGGTCCCTAGAAGCTAACTTCCTGCTCACCCTCACCCGAAGCAGGCAGTGAGGATAGGAAGTGCACAGCAGTGGAGAGGAGACGCTGGCGAGGCCCCAGGCTCCTTGGGAAACCTTGGCTTAGGTACAGTGCTCCATGGGCCTGCCATCCCTAGCATGAGCTGGGCTCGCCCTTCTGTTCTTCGAAGGAAATGTTAACAACAGTATTTTTGAGCAGTTATAGTTACAGAGCTGTGCTCCTGACACTTGGGCTAATTAAAAAATGACTCATCACACATGGAGGGGAAACCAGTGTACATGAAATCTGAACAGTGTGCAGAAGACCAGACCAGGAACGGCCACATGGAGCTCATTTAGTTCTTGTCACAGCTTGTGGGGCAGGATTGTTGTTGAGCTTTAAATAAATAATAGCCCTTTTAAAATATTTTTTTTCTTTTTTTTTTTTTTTAAGTACATAGTCTCAATATGTAGTTCAGGCTGGCCTTGAATTAACTATGTAACCCATGAGGTGATCCTCCTGCCTCTCAGCCTCCCAACTGCTGGGGTTACAGGTGTGCACCACCACAATTAATAAAAATGGTATACATTTATGGTATGAAGATGATATTTTGGTATATGTTATATGATGGCTCAAATAAAGTGATGAACATAGCCATTATTCCACATCCTTATTTTCTATGAAGAGAACATTTAAAATCTGCTCCTTAAGAACCAAGATACATCATGCAAAGGTACAATATCCCAATGATGAATGTAACTGTATTGTATACCTAAAAGGTACCAATAAACTTAATGAAAAAAAAAGTAAAATCTGCTCCTGAAGCATTTTTCAAGTTCACAATGCATTCTGATGCACTGTTGTCACAGTATTGAATAATGAATCTGATGAACTCATTGCCCAGACACTGCATCCATGGAGCAGCCCCACTCCTCCACCCCAGGCCCTGGTAACTATGTTCTCTTTGCTTCTAGGACCTCAGCATTGTTAGATTCCTGACTCCCCCCGCCCCACCACCACCACCACAGTATTTGTGATTCTGTTTCTGGCTTATTTCTCTGAGCACATTATGCTCCAGGTTTGTCCATGTCACCTCCCATGGCAGGATTTCTGTTTGTGAAACTGAGTAGTATTCCTTATATGCATAGTATGTTTTCTTAATCCATTCATGTGTCAGTGAAGGCTGAGTTGCTTCCTCCTTTTGGCTACTGTGTATAATACCGCTTTGAGCATGGGAGAACCAATATTTTTGGGAGAACCAATATTTTTGAGAGACCCTGCTTTTCCTTCCTTGGAGTATGTACCTGGAAGGGAATTGCTGGAGCTCCAGCAGGCCTGTGTTTAATTTTGGGAAGGACCTCCATGCTGTTCCCTTAGTGTCTGTGCCAATTTATGTTGCTGCTTCCTTCACTCAATGGGGCAGGTGAAGCTCCCAGCATTTGGTTGTGAGTGCCCAAGGCTATTGGTCACAGCTGGAAAGGAGGGCTGGGCTTGGGCTGCCTGTCCCTTGGGTGAGGACATACCTCTGTGGGAGAGTGCAGGTGTGCACAGAAACCTGTTCGTGGTGGACTGTGCTGAGTGCTTGCTATGGGACATGGTTGGCTGAATGACTGAGGAACTTCACAGGGAGGAGACTTGCTTCCAGGCCACATGACGGGAGGACACACATTCCTCGTTTAACGACTTACCTGGTTAATGACTGTTAAACTTGCAACTGAGGCATGCTGTTCAAACTTGCAACACACAGCTCAGACTTACAACTTGCATTTGGACTTATGATGCAGGAACATGAGTGGCAGTGTAGCCTTATGGTAGCTTCTTCTACAGTACAGTACTGTAACTTTTCCTTATTGTACTGTACAATACTGTAGCTTTATAATCTATTATACATTACAATACTGCATGTAACATTTATTCAAATAAAAGCAGAGTCATCAATCGGGGCTTTCTTTGAGCATTTCTTTGTTCTGAAAGTTGTAATGCACAACTCTTATTGTAATACAACTCATTTAGTGACCAATTCATTTAACAAACCTACTCACAGAAACAGTATTTTGTCATTAAACGAAGGATGTCTGTATAGGTTTCTGACTCACAGGCTTCAAACAGAGGCATCCACAGGAAGTAGCAGGAAGGGGTGCCTAAGAGGGAAAGCTCCATAGGGAATGGTGGGTCCTTGTTTAATTAGAGGAGCAGAGAACGAAAACCAAATGTATGAAGACAGCTGGAAAGGGAAGCTCCCCAAAGACTTGTGCCTTCAATTGAGCCCTGGTCAAGAATCAATTCCTTTGCTGGCCATTCTCTAGCATCTCTCAGCCTTCACCTGTGCTTCTGGACCTGGTTCTGGACTCTGCTGGGGCCGGTCAGGTGCACACCACCATGTCTTCTGGCTTCTGGCTTCCTGTTGGGTTGCACCGTGAGGAGGCTGTGGCTGGAAGATCGATGGGTAGGAGAGAGATGCTCTACCTCTGGCTGGTCCAGTCTGGCTGTGGCTGCCGGAAGTTGCTGTGACTACAAAAGGGAGGTATGATTCTGACTCCAGCAGCCCCAAGGTTCCTCTTCTGTCATCAGGTCCTCTCTAGTGTGCTGATCTGACCTGACTGCCTTCGGGCCTTCCCAGCTTCTGGTCTCTGGAGGTCACATCTGTCTCTCTTACGTCATCATAATCCTTCTCCTTCCTCTGGCTTTTCTTAACCCTACACATATCTTTGGAGCCAAACCCCTGTGTTCAATCTCTTTCATTTGAAATACTTGGAGGGGTCTTCCTGGCTAGACCTTGCTGGTTCATTTCCCTCTAGGAAATTTGAAAGAGAGGCCTGGTCTGAGTCTTCCCAGTTGCCTGGCATGAAGCCAACCCTCCAGCTGGCCATGGCTCCAGCTGGTCTCCTGCTGGCAACCACAGGTGGCCACAACATCTGCACTACCATCCCTTTCTAGGGTGTATTACTCCTTGCCCAGGGTTGACAGGAGAGGGATTGATGGGCGACAATGTGTGCTGCCCTATAGCTTTATCACTCCAGTATAAGGGAGGTCACTAGATCCCAAGAGGCTGGAGACACAGATGGGATTCATTCACAGCAACATAAATAACTTGATATTGGATATCTAACATTCCCTTTGGAAAAGCTTTTTTAAGAACAGTTTTAGCTTTACATAAAAATTGAGATGGCATAGAGTTCCCATTGTCCCCCCCCCCATTTCCTTGTTATTAATATCTTGCATTCAAATGGGATTCTCATCCCTTCGTATCCAAGGTTCAAGCACTCAGCGTGCTTTATGACTGTAGTTCTTGCTGGGGTCAATGTCTATGGAGATATATTCACCAGACTGCTTTGCTCTAAAGGCACTTCCTCCTCTCTCCACTGCACTTTGGGAAGAAGCACATTGTGTAGCCCACTCGTGGGGTCAGAGAGGCTGCTCTTCCCTCCTGTCATGGAGAATCTACATAAATTATTGGGAATTTCTCTGCACAGGAGTTTATCTCTTCTCTGTATTATTAATCATTTACGTTGGTATGCATTGGTGGATACTTATTCTATCCTTTGAGTTATTTTGTTCCTCAAATTGATCCAAAGCCAGGGATGGTGATGCATGCCTATAATTCCAGCACTCAGGAGGCTGAGGCAGGAGGATTGTCATGAGTTCGAGGCCAGGCTTGGTTACATAGTGATTTCAAGGCTAACCTGAACTACATAGCAGAACCTGTCTCCAAAAAACAAAAAATCGTTCCAGCTTATGTGGTGGGAGCTCTTTCACTGATTCCTATACCCTTTGACAAACTCCCATCATTATCTTTCCTTGTTTTTTGTAGTACCCTTTTCCTGTCTGACAGCACTCCAAACTCATCTTGGATATTTTCTGCTTCTGCCATTTCTCCAAGGATCTCTGGCTTCTCTTCTTGGGGAATAGTTAGAAACCAGGATATGGAGTGCAGTGTGCTGGTACCCTGGTGGGAGGGTACTTCAAGATCTTCTTGGATGACAAAGAAATATGTGTGTGTGTGTGTGTGTGTGCCAGTTGGTATTGACACATATTATCAATCAATATTTCTATAAGTAACCAAATATATCTATATGAGGTGAGATTGAAAATATGGCGAATGCTTAAATTTTAAAAATGTATTCCAATAAAA